AGGACGCGCCGCGGAACGTCCAAGAGGACACGCCAAGCGACGTGCCAAGGGACGTGCCACGGGGACGCACCGCGGAACGTGCCAAGGGGACGCGCTACGGAACGTGCCAATGGACGTGCCACGGGTCGTGCCGAAGGACGCGCCGCGCGACGTGCCAGGGTGACTCGCCACGGGACGCGCCACGGAACGTGCCAAATTGCAATGGTGAATGTATCGATCTTGATGTACCGTGCCGAGGGCTGTGCCGTGCTGAACTGCGACGTGCCATGCCGCGGTTGTGCTCTATGCTTTGTGGATCGAGTCCTCCTTTGTATCCGAGTCCTGACCGAACTGATCTGGATCTTAAGCTCGAGCTGCCTCAGCACATAGTAGCTGCCCCAGAGCTGGTTGACAAAGTAACACGCCAGGGGGACGCGCCGCGGAACGTCCCAAAGGGACGCGCCAAGCGACGTGCCAAGGGACGTGCCATGGGGACGCACCGCGGGACGTGCCAAGGGGACGCGCTACGGAACGTGACAATGGACGTGCCACGGGACGTGCCAGGGGACCAATGTGTTTTCAGGCTTGCCCCGCCCTGGGGCGTTAGGAACCCATGCGTTTTCACGTATCTCCCGCCCTGGGGTGTTCGGAACCCATGTGTTTTTTCACGTTTGTCCCGCACTGGGGCGTTAGGAACCCATATGCTGTCGCGCTTGCTCCGCCCTGGGGCGTCAGGAACCCACGTGTCTTCACAGCAGTTCCGCCCTGGGGCGTTAGGAGCCGATGTGTTTTCACGCTTCTCGAGCCTTCTGGGGCCTCCTGGGGGCAGGGGGAAGCAAATCTCCCCGAACACACATCCCAACACAGAAACATGCATCCTGCTTGCCATCGCTCGGACGTCCATTTCCCGTGCATTTGTCGGTTTCGTGTGCGTTTTTCTGCCCGATGGCCCAGGATGGTCCTCGATGGTTCTCGCCGAGAAAAATGTCCGAGCGATGCCACGCCTGGGGCCACCTAGGGGCGAGAAGCGCCCCCCGAACATGGATCCCAGTCCAAAACAATGCCTCCCGGGGCCTCGTGGGGCAGCCTGGAGCCTCCCGGGGCCTCCAGGGGCGCTCGGAACCCACGTGTTCTCGTGCTTCCCCCGCCCTGGGGCGTTAGGAACTCGCGTGCTTTCACTCCTGTCTTGGAAACGCCCAGGGGTCATACTCTAGAGGCCTGCGCGGAGGCGCGGAAAAGGGGACGCTCCTCCTCTAGAGGAGAGCCGATTGTGCCCCCGCGGCGATTCCAACTCCTGTCCCGCCCTGGGGCGTTTGGAACCCATGTGATTTCCCGCTTTCTCCCGCCCTGGCGCGTCAGGTGTTTTCGTGTTTGTCCCGCCTCGGGGCGTGAGCAACCCATGTGTTTTCGCGCTTCTCCCGCCCTGGGGCGTTAGAAACGTATGTGTTTTCATGCTTGTCCCGCCCTGGGGCGTTAGGAACGTATGTGCTTTCATGCTTGTCTCGCCCTGGGGCGTTAGGAACCATGTGTTTTCACGCTTCTCGAGCCTCCTGCGGCCTCCTTGGGGGGGGGAAGCGAAAAGCGTTCCCCGAATACATGTCCCAATGCAGAACATGCGTGAAACAAGCATTCTACCTGAGACATCCTCTGAACTCTGGACCCCAGGAACGAACAAAAAAAACAATGTATAACACAAAACGTTTCGCTGGAGACATCCTCAACAAATTCTAAAACAACAAACGTTTCGTTCGGGGCATCCTCAAAGTAAGACAACATATAATACAAAACAAGCGTTTCGCTCGAGACAAACCTATTCTGAAAAAACAAGCGTTTCGCTCGGGACATCCTCAAAACAATTCCGCCGCCCCTCTTCCCGCTTCGTTATTTTCAGCAACTAATTCCGCCGGCCCTCTTCCCGTCGGGTCCCGGAGGAAACAGCTCAAAGATAACCCCGGGCCCACGCCCTTTCCAAGAAACATGCAAGAACTTCACGGATTGAGGGCGGTTCCTTTTCAAAATGTGGCTCTCGCCTTAGCGCCGCGCACATTCGTACTAAACATGATCGACCCACGAACCCGGAAGGAATCTAGAAACGTAAGGCTGGCAGCGTTTTCAAGACACCTGATTGGGCGACGGGCAATTGCGATGCTGAATATATCGATCGTGATGTACCGTGCCAAGGGCTGTGGTGTGCTGCGCCGTGCTGAATTGCGATGTGCCATGCCGCGGCTGTGCTCTATAGCGTTGTGGATCGAGTCCCCTTTTGCATCCGAGTCCTGACCGAACTGATCTGGATCGTAAGCTCGAGCTGCCTCAGCACATAGTAGCTGCCACAGAGCTACTTGGCAAGGGGACACGCCAGGGGGACGCGCCGCGGAACGTCCCAACGGACGCGACAGGGGACGTGCCAGGGGGGCGCGCCGCGGAACGTCCCAAAGGACGCGCTAAGCGACGTGCCGAAGGACGTGCCATGGGGATGCACCGCGGGACGTGCCAAGGAAACGCACTACGGAACGTGCCAATGGACGTGCCACGGGACGTGCCGAGGGACGCGCCGCGCTACGTGCCAAAGGGACTCGCCACGGGACGCGCCACAGAACTTGCCAGGGAACGTGCCAGGCGACGCACCAGGGAACGTGCCAGAGAGCGCGTCAGAGAACGCGCCGCGGGACGTCCCTGACCCAGGGCCAGGATCCCTGTAAACTACGCTGCGTCCGCGCTCCCATGGACACGATCCCAAGTAAATTACGCTGCGTCCGCTCTCCCTGGGCCACGATCCCATGTAAACCACGCTGCGCCCGCGCTCCCAGGGCAGCGCTCCCTCGTGAACTACGCTGCGTCCGCGCTCCCAAGATCCCGAGTAAATTACACTGTGTCAGCCCCCCAAGGGCGACGATCCCTTGTAAATTACGCTGCGTCCGCGCTCCCAAGGCAACGATCCCTCGTAAACTAAGCTGCGTCCGCGCTCCCAGGGCCGCGCTCCCTCGTAAATTACGCTGCGTCCGCGCTCCCAGGGCAACGATCCCTTGTAAACTAAGCTGCGTCCGCGCTCCCAGAGCCGCACTCCCTCGTGAATTACGCTGCGTCCGCGCTCCCAAGGCAACGATCCCTCGTAAACTAAGCTGCGTCCGCGCTCCCAGAGCCGCGCTCCCTGGTGAATTACGCTGCGTCCGCGCTCCCAGGGCAGCGCTCCTTCGTGAATTACACTGCGTCCGCGCTCCCAGGGCCACGATCGCTTGTAAATTACACTGCGTACGCGCTCCCAGGGCCACGTTCCCTTGTAAATTACGCTGCGTCAGCTCTCCCTGGGCCACGGTCCCTGGTAAACTAAAGCTGCGTCCGCGCTCCCAGGGCAGCGCTCCTTCGTAAATTGCGCTGCGTCCGCTCTCCCAATGCCCCCTAGGGCATCCTTGGGCGGCGTCCAGGTTCCTTGAAGTCTCCAAAACAAGCGTTTCGCTCGAGACATCCGCAACAAACGAAAATGCTTCCTGGAGCTTCAGAAACCAGCGTTTCGCTCGGGACATCCTCAAATTCTAATTCGCCTGCCCGTAACCAAGGCGGTGTGGTCGTGCTGGGGAGTGGTCGTGCTGGGGTGTGGTCGTGCTGGGGGGTGGTCGTGCTGGGGGGTGGTCGCACATACGTAAAAGCACATGGAATCGTGCACCTGGAGAGGGCAAATCTACAGGGACATGCGTAAAACACACACACGGGTTCGTGCACCTGGAGAAGGCAAATCTATGGGGCGCCCAGATCCCTCAAGTTCTACAAAACAAGCGATTCGCTCGAGACATCCTCGGTAACTCTGCGGAGCAAGCGTTTCGCTCGAGACATCCTCAACACACGAAAGAGTGGCCCGCACCCTAGGATTTATCGATCGGGATTTCAAAGACAAGCGTTTCGCCTGAGACATCCTCAAATTTTAATCCGCCGGCCCACCTCGACTTCGATATTCATCAAGGAAAGAATCCGCCGGCACACCTCAGTTGAGGCACCGGGGACAGGTTTACCACACTAAAAGAAAACCCTGGGCCCACGCCCTTTCCGGGAAAAGGGAAAATGTGGCCCTCACCTTCGCGCCGAGCACATTCGTTTTAGACCTGTGCGAGAGTTTCATTGCTTCTCCTGGCTGACGTAGCAGAGATGGTGTTTTGAAGTCATTCAGGAATGTCAGGGCGCAACTGTCACGTTGGTTCGCGGTGTTGGAGTCTCAAGAATGGTCTTCTGGTACGATTCGGGATCGCCAGGACGTAACAGTCAGGTTACTTCGTGGCGTCGAAATCCTGAGAATGGTGTTTTGGCGCGCTTCAAAATGTTCACACAGTTGTCCCCCAACGGGGCAATCCCTGTGGAAATGACCTCTTGTAGGGGCCTGCGAAGAGGGATCTTGGAGGGAAGCTGTGTTCAAACATCGTTGATGAGTCTTGGGTTTGCACTAGTCCTCCTCCTCCTCCTCCTCCTCGTCCTCCTCCTCCTCCTCCTCCTCCTCCCTCCCTCCCTCCCTCCTCCCTCCTCCCTCCTCCCTCCTCCCTCCTCTCCTCCATCCTCCTCCTCCCTCCTCCCTCCTCCCTCCTCCTCCTCCTCCCTGCTCCTCCTCCTCCTCCTCCTCCTCCTCCCTCCGCCTCCGCCTCCGCCTCCTCCTCCTCCTCCTCCTCCTTCCTCCTCCTCCTCCTCCTTCCTCCGCCTGCCAGGCCCAGGCTAGATCGAACCGCGATGTCGGATCGCATCCAGCGAGTCGCCCCGACCGCCGCGCCTGGCTCCAGCTGGCTGGGTGTTGCTAGAAGTACCCCTGGCCCAAGGTACCCCCAGGATTCTCGGGGTGGCCCAGGCGGCCTCCAGGGCACCCCTCACGAGGCCCAGGGGACCCCAGGGGCTCCAAAATGGAGCGAAAAGCTGGGGGCACCTTGGGCCAGGGGGACTTCTAGCAACACCCGAACTGGCCCCTGCCGATGGCGAATCGAACCGGAGACGCGGGCCCAGCCCGCGACTCGAAGCGGATTGCATCGGACCGCGGGCGGTCCCGCCTGCGGCCCCTCTCGCTGTTCTCGTGGATCTCCGCCTCGTGGAGGCGCTGCAGCGCGCGCCGCACCACGAGCCTCTCCAGTGGCGAGACCAGCCCGAGCTGCCGGGCCATCGTGGAGTTCGACAGCTCCAGCAGCCCCTTTACGCCGTGCAGCCTCCGCCCGCGCACCATCTTGGCGGCCTCGGGGTTCACGCCGAGGCAGTGGACGATGGCAGCCAGCTCGACCTCGCTCCAGAGCGACGGCGACGAGACACCGAGAGCCTCTCTCGGGTCCACCGCCGCCGGCCCTGTAGTCTTGGGCGTCTGCTTCTGCTCGCTGTCTTTTCTCTCCAGGACGGTCGTCGGAGTGGGCGTCTGGAATTCTGGCATTAGGCCGTCCCTCGCCGCGCCCTCTCTGCAGAAAGTTGAGCTGGAGCTGGAGGCAGGGACCCGATGACGCTCCTCCCTCTCCTGCAGGAAGTCGACGAGGGGCCGCCACGACCCCTCGCTCAGGACGCGGCACCCCTTGACGCCCGAATCCCAGTGGGGCATGCTGATTCCTCGCCCCGAACGCTGGCCGTTCGCGAAATTCCCGCAGTAGATGAACTCCTCTGTCTCCTCCACCCCGATCCCGTGTTGCGAGTCCTCCTGCCGTAGCAGAAAACCTACAGCATAACAACTACATAAAGCATGATACGGGAGAACATGATCGACCCACGAACCCGTGAAAGGAATATAGAAATGTAACGCATGGCAACGTTTTCAAAGACACCTGATTGGGTGACGGGCTGTGCTTGATCTTGATGCACCGTGCCGAGGGCTGTGCTGCGCTGCGCCGTGCTGAATTGCGATGTGCCATGCCGCGATTGTCCTGACCGAACTGATCTGGATCTTAAGCTCGAGCTGCCTGACCACATAATAGCTGCCCCAGAGCTAATTGACAGGGGAATCTGCCAGGAGGACGCGCTTCGAAATGTCCCAAAGGACGCGCCAGGCGACGTGCCAGGGGACGTGCCATGGGGTCGCACCGCGGGACGCGCTACGGAAGGTGCCAATGGATGTGCCACGGGATTTGCCAGGGGACGCGCCACGCGACGTGCCAAGGGGACTCGCCAAGGGACGCCCCACGGAACGTGCCAAAAACGTGCCAAGTTGCAATGCTGAATGTATCGATCTTGATGTACCGTGCCGAAGTCTGTTCTGTGCTGCGCCGTGCTGAATTGCGATGTGCCATGCCGCGATTGTGCTCTATAGCGTTGTGGATCGAGTCTTCCTTTGCATCCGAGTCCTGACCGAACTGATATGGATCTTAAGCTCGAGATGCCTGAACACATAGTAGCTGCCCCAGAGCTAATTGACAGGGGGACATGCCAGGAGGACGCGCCGCGGAATGTCTCAAGGGACGCGCCAAGCGACGTGCCAGGGGACGTGCCATGGGGACGCACCGCGGGACGTGCCAAGGGGACGCGCTACGGAACGTGCTAGGGACAAGCGTTTCGCTCGAGACATCCTGTCAACATCCTCATGCTAGACATCCGCCTGAGCGACCTGGACACGTGAAAACAAGCGTTTCGCACAACACATCCTCAACACATTCTCATGCTAGACATCCGCCAGGGCGAACTGGACACGTGAAAACAAGTGGTTCGGTCGAGACATCCTCAACACATCCTCATGTGAGACGTCCGCCTGGGTGACCTGGGCACGTGAAAAGAAGCGTTTCGCTCGAGGCGTGTTCAACACCTCATTCTAGACATCCACCTGGGCGATCTGCACACGCGAAAGCAAACGTCTCGCTCGAGACATCCTCAACACATCTTCATGTTAGACATCCGCCTGGGCGACCTGGACACGTGAAAACAAGCGTATCCCTCAAGACATTCTCAACACATCCTCATGCTAGGCATCCGCCTGGGCAACTTGGACACGTGCAAACAAGCATCTCGAACGAGACTTCGTCAACACATCCTCATGCTAGATATCCGCCTGGACGACGAGGACGCGTGAAAGCAAGCGTCTCGCTCGAGACATCCTCAACAAATCCTGGCGCTAGACCTCTGCCTGGGCAACCTGGAGGCGTGAAACCAAGCGTCTCGCTCGAGACATCCTCAAGACCTCGGCACGTGAAAACAAGCATTTCACTTCAGAGATCCTCTGAATTCTGGTCCCCAGGAGAAGACAATCTATAACACAAAACAAGCGTTTCGCTCGAGACATCCTGAACAAATTCTGAGGCAGCTCTACGTTGCTGGGAAGAGAAGCGCATTTTACGCTGGGGTCTTCTGGGTTGTGGACACGGGTCAGGTCCAGACCATCATCTTTCTCCTCCTCCTCATCTTCCAGGTGTTCATCATTTGGATGTTCTCCGCCATCAGCTTCAACCATCTCTTCATCATCATTGGGCCAGTTGTTCTTACCTTGAAGACCGTGACGCTCACGGAGGACCTCAGCAGGAACAGGTACCTCGGGAGCGCGTGGGGGCGATCAACGCCCCAATAACCCCATGAGACAACTTGGGGAGTACCGGCTCCGTGGCGTGCTGAGCTTCGGCTCAATGCAGGGTGGCACGCTCGAGTTTCTTCCGAACCCTGCACCGCAACCGATTTTGATTCTCGAAGCGAAGGGGGGCCGGACTACCACGGAAGGCCCGGAGATCGGTGGCACCGTTCATTGCTGACCTCCGAGCTCGTACTGCTGGAAGGCGACGTCGTGACCGAGTGCGCCATCTTCATCGATTTTGTCACCAACGCTTTCTCTCTCTCTACTTCTGCTCACCTTACCCTTGTAACTATCAATATGCAGGGCTGGTGCTGGGCGAATCAAACAGACCGCCACATGGCTAAAGCCCTTGGGATGATCCGACTTGCTCGTACTCACGGCTGGGATGCCGCCTGCTTGTCTGACGTGCACTGCCCGTGGGAGTTCACTGACTACCACTCGCTCCCCGGAGCGCCTCGGGACCTACGAAACACCGTCGTCGCTATAGAGGAGTTCATCGTCATCTTCGGTACTCGCAGTGCGATTTTGTTGTGCCCGGCGGCGCAGCAGGCTTGGCGTGATCATGAGTGCCATGTCGCCCGACACGAATGCGGCCGCCTCCTCGCAGTGTCTCTGCGTATCAAGGGCGCCTCGTACGCTATTACATCTGTCTACGCACCAGACCAGTCCTATGGCGCCGACCTCCGGCGTGACTTCTTTGAGCTTTGCGATGACTGCGACGACCTCGTAGCTGTGGTTGGGCGATTGGAACAGCCATATTGGAGTCGATTCCTGCCAACACTACGGCGGCTTGGGCCAGTACGGGATGAACACACCGACGGGGGCGCCTGGGCGCGAGCTGGCCGCCTGGCTTGCTCACGGCCCGCAGCTCGATCTCATCGATTCGTACTTCAAGATCCGCCCTCGCGGCACATGGTCGCACCCTGTGGGCGGTCGCCACATCCACTTCGAGCTTGATGTTTGTGAGGCGTCGTCGCCTCTGCGGCGCCGGTTTTCGAGAGTCAAGACGTTCCAAGTGGAATTCAGCGACCGCTGTGGCAAGACGTACCACCTGGCCCTCGCCAAGGCCCACGAAGCGTGGCGGGAACTTCGACAACGGGGCGCTGAGGCTCAGAAGCGCCCGCTGGCCCTTCATCGCATGCAGGGTTCGCTCCCCGAGGCCGTCGCCCTGAGAGAGCAGTATGTGCGACTTTGCGAAGACCGGACACCGCCTTTGGACGAGAACTGCCCATTCGGGACATCGCTGCGGCAGCTGCCGAGGAAGTGGTGGGGAGGGAGTCAAAACGGCGGTGCATTCCGTACCTCGCCGGCCACGCGCGCGAGATGCAGGCGGAGTGCGATGCACTGCGGGAACTTCGCCGCCGCCAGCGACTGGCGCCCACGACGGAGGAGTCCACAGCCCTCCGCCAACAGCAACGGGCTCGGTCCAAGGCGTATCGTGCTCTCCGCCGCAGGTGGCGAGCGGAAGGGATTTCTGGCATGGTCACGGAATTGGAACGCCCCATGCAATTTCAGGATATGGGCCGTTTCTACGCCGCGCTGCGCGAGCTGGGTGTAAAGCTGCAGGAATATTCCCAGCGTGGACGTCAAGATCACACGCCAGAGGCTCTTCGGGAGCACTACAGCAAGCTGGGGGCTGAAGTCAACGCGGTCAGTCAAGAAACCCTGGATAGGTTGCCTCCGCCATGCCCTACCTGTGAAGCTCACGGCGACACTCCTTCCTCGACAGAAATTCTGGCGCTGATGAAGAAGATGAAGAACTCCGCCGGGGGCAAGGACGAGATCACGATCAAGATGCCGTTGCACGGCGGCGACCGGGTGGTGGGCCACACGATCCATGGCATCCAGCACACGCGGGTGACCCCGCCGCAGGAGTGGGGGGCTTTTCTCCATGAAGCAGTGGTTATTTTGGAAGCGGAAAGGAGACCCTCAAGATCTAGACAAGCACAGAGGCATCTGCCTGATCTCGATCTTTGCCAGGATCATCGCCCGAGTCCTGTCTGCCCGGCTCACAGCGTACTGTGAAGAACACCATGTGCTGGCCAACGACCAATGGGGTTTTCGGCCTATGCGGAGTACGATGGGTGCAATCTCGGTGGTTCGGCGTCTGGTTGATTTGGCGTGTCATTGTGGGGCCGACTACAACGATGACCCTATTTGCGTTGAGCCGCTGGACATGCAGAAAGCATACCCCTCGGCCTCCCGGAACGCAGCGGAGGCTGTCGAGCGCAATGAGGGCATCCCGGAGGCCGTGATTCAGCTGGAGAAGGGCTTGGCGGAGCTCACAGAGTATGTTTGTCGGAACAAGCTCGGCTACTCCAAGTCGTGCAAATTGCTACGGGGGTTCAAAGAAGGATGCCCGGCGTCTTGCGTCCGCTACAATATTTACCATAACGCAGGCCTCCGTGATTTCCCAGCGCACTCTGCGGCGGCTGGCCTGTCTGACACTGTCCAGCTTCGCCAAGCACCGGAAACCGTCCGCATACATCCACTCAACGGCATGCACGGCCCGAAACGGCAGCGACAGGCCGACACTTGGGAACGCTTTACCTTGGACCTCATCAACTCTGCGGACGACACTAACCTGGTGCATCGGGCGTCGGTGGCCGAAGCTCGCCGCGATCTGATCACCTCGACTATGGACGAATGGGGCGAGACGGTGCACCCTGACAAGTGGCAACACCTGCGCGCCCGGCGGGCGACGCCGGCGACTGCCGTAGCCCCCGCGCCTGCTGCCGCAGCACCACGCGCTGAGCATCCGCCCAGGCGGCGCCCGGCCGCAGCCGCGCCGGCAGCCGCTCCGGCAGCCGCCCCGGCAGCCGCCCAGGGCCTGGTCCGACGGCGGGTCACTGGCAAGAGCTCGGCGGCGGCCGCCTTGGGCCCAGCCCCGGCGGCGCCTCCGCCCGCAGCCGCTCAGAAATGGGAGCCATCTATTGAGTTGCTGGGGTCTTGGATCTCGGCGAACGGCGCCACTGACCGCAACCTGTACGAGAGGCTGACTCGGGCCCGAAAGCTTTGGTATGCCGTGCACCGTCGACTTCCATCACTGGGCCTGAGCGCCCGGGAGAAGGGCAAAGTGGTCCAGGTAACGGCGATGGCTTCTCTGCTGTACGCCTGCGAAGTCACGCCTTTCAATGCGGAGCAGTTGG